TCTGACTTCCACACAAGTTCTACGGCATGTGTATACATACATACACACACACACTTTAAACTAAAAATAAAAAAGTCATAGCCATTAAATAAGAATAGTTGGGAAGTGGTGGCACAAGCTTTAATCCCAGGAGGCAGAGGCAGGTGGATCTCTGTGCGTTCGAGGCCATCCTAGCCTACAAGAGCTAGTTCTAAGACAGGCTCCAAAGCTACAGAGAAACCCTGTCTTGAAAACAAAAAAAAAAAAAAAACAAAAAAAAAAGCTGCTATATTCCAGAATTTATAGCCAGAGAATCAGTTGTCCAGTGACTAGGTACACACTTTTAAAAAGCAACTTCTATAGCACTGGCCTAGGTTCACGTACCACATCTTCTCTTTAGAACCCAAAGCTCTCAATAATTTTTAGAACACATCTTTAGGACTAAGACAGTGAGGTATTGTTTTACCAGATGCAGACAGAGTCTAGAAGAAAACCGAGGTTCTGTTGTTTGCTCAAAGTCCTAGGGGTTTTCAGATGCCCCACCCAATAGTTCTGTCTATTAAAGATGGCTGCTGTGTTTCAAGTTCACATCACCTCCACCTCTATTAGGAATAACACATTGGAATGCAGGAAAAAGCTGTGATAACTCCAGCATTCACTGAGTGGAGCGCCTTCACAGGGAGGCTGTTTCTGGGCTGTGCGTTTCCACTAATACTCCTGCCCCACCCAACTCTCTGGCATGTAGCCTTGATCAGGACTCCTGAGAACTAAGAAGCGGATTCTGTGGAACTCCCAGCTTCTCTAACATATAAGGCAGTGCTTTCTGTCAAACTCCTCTTATATGTAAATAAAACCTTTCCTAAGCCCAGGACAGGCTATCAGTAACATTTCCTGCTTTGGAGAAGGAGCAGGGGCAACACATTGGGTAAGTTGTAAGGATTGCAGGAGGAAATTCATGTAACCACCTCCTAGCTTCAAGCAAGCATTCAGCAGTGTTGATGGTAAAGAATGAAAATGTTTCAAAAGGCACGGGACGTTTTTCTCACTTGGCTCCATTCTGTGAGTCTTAGCTACAAGTGGTATTCTTGGGTCCTGTGCACTGACTCTGCCTTCTTCACTGGTGCTGTTTACACACAGGCAGGCGGAAACAGTCAAAGGCCTGCACACATGACTACCCAACTCAGCGATTCTCCACCGAGAGAACTTTGGGGGACCACTTGGGAACATGACACATGTTCCTTGTCCCTAACTCAAAGTCAGGGTTGTTGGGGAGGCTAAAACAACTGAAAAGATTTCACAAATAATTTCGACCATTGAACAGCTTGCAGTTTTAATTTCAGAACAGTCTTTTGAAAAGCTCTCTGCCTCTGTTTCTACCTATGTATAAATTCACCCGGGGAAGCCGCCATGCTAACAGCAGCCGCTTCAAGGCTTCATTGCACAGTCATAAGAACTGTCATGGTAAGAGGCACGGAAGTGGTGGTTCTGTTTCATTGAAATTCCTAGTATTCGTGCCTTGAGATTGCCTGAGCCTCCAGCTAATTACACTACGCAGAGGGGTCTGTGGCTTCTTCCTTCCAGGGAAAGCTAATTGACACTTTTGTCAAGAGCTATTGCCTTATCTAACTGTGTGTGTGGATGCAAGTCTTTGCTGTGGGGTGTGTCCACCTGCGTGTGTGGAAGTGTGTACTCATGCACAAGCATTTGACACATGCAGATATGTGTGTGTGTTTGGTCTTGTGTGGATCATTGTCTGCTCCAGAGATAGTGCCAGACACCAGGATTCTTAAACAGACGCCTCCGGAAGGCACTCCCGTTCCTTTTTCACAGGAAATCCACGAGGAATTTGGCTGATGGCAAAATGGGTTAGATTCCAAACAGGCGGTCACTGGAAATTCTACACACACCTTTGCTTCCTACAAGAATCTACTTGTACTATCAGCTCCTCTGAGCTGAAAAGAAAAAAGAAAAGGTGGGAAACCTCTTGTGTGCTGTGGCCAAGAACATTAGAAAGCTTGCACCATAGCCTTTCGGTCCAGCAGGAACTATTTGGCCATGCATGGTGGTACAAACTGGCAGCCCCCATTACAGGAGGCTGAGGCGGAAGCATCCCCTGAGCCCAGGAGCTGAGACCAAGCTTTGGAAGTGATTGCTGTTTGTACCAGAAAGGGTGTGAATTGGGACCTTGGTTTGTAGGAACAGAATCATCTGCCCCGTTTTTCTGTGTGGCCGATGCTGGAGAACTATTCAGAGTCACATTTGGTTGTGAAGGGTGTCACTGCCCACTCCTTCTGCTTCTGCAGGCCTCAGATATTGCAAATGCTGGCTGTGGATGTTATCCAGGTGGATGGCTGCATCGTAAGCCATTTAGGTTTAAGACAGAAACAGACATATACAGACACACCGAATCACCACCCCCAAATCTTCAAACTCTGAAATGTCTTGGCAGTACTCATCAACAAGAATCCTGTATGATGTACAGTTATTTCCTAGCGAAGATGTCTTTCAGCTTCTGAAAACTTCTTTTGGGTCTCTCAGAACTTTTAGGGGGTCTCTCACAGAACTTCTTTTGGGTCTCTCTCTTTTTCTCTCTGTCTTGCACACATACAACACTTTCCCAAGTTCCATGTTGTCTCCTCTGAGTGCCATAGAATCCTGCCTGGAAACTGGTGGGTTCGCCTTAGTTGGAGTAGACTCTGAAGCTAAAACTCAGCTGTTTGCCCACTCACTGGGGAGGGAGTTAGGCAACCTGGTTGCTTTTAAACAGAGCACACATCCTGACTCAGAAACGACAGTTCGCAGTTTTTGTCCTTCCGGAATCATTTTTGAGACAATTGTGTCTGCGCAGTTTTAGGTGCATTTTTCCCTTGCACACAATATTTGTGCCCTTCACAAAGACTCAAGCACCTGAGCTAATGAAACTTCCGTACTCTTCTTCTGCTTCCCCCATGGATTCCAGCTACAAACAGGTCCTTGAACGATGCATTAAAGTCACTTAGGACTTGTTGCAGGTGCCAGTATCCAGTCAAAGTGCGGACTCACTCGTGTGACTTGGCTCCTTTGGACCCAAACAAATTGATTTTATAATTTTCCTATGGTTGTGTGTTTGAGACAGAGTCTTACAATCCAGGCTGCCCCTAAACAGCAATCCTCCTGCCTCTGCTTCTTGAGTGCTGAGATTACAGGCGTCAGTCATTGGTTGATTTATTTGAGGGTGTGTATTGTACCTCTGTGAGTTTATGTGCACTACCCTTGTGCCTGGTGCTCAGGGAGCACAGGGAGTGTTGGATTCCCTGGAAGTAGAGTTACAGGTGGAAGTGTGCTGCCTGATGTGGGTGCTGGAAACTGAACCTGGGCCTCCAGAAGAGCAGAAAGGACTAAGTCACAGAGTCATCTCTCCAACCCCCATGTTTTAAGTTAAACCTTCGGCAGCTTAGTTCTTAACATTGTTGTCGTTTGTGTTGCCTTTCCGTGGCTTACTTGGTAGGTAGTTGCATTCTCTTAGACGACCTCTTTTCTGGGTGGAGATATTGAACCTTCGAAGCATTTCCAGGCACGCGCTGAAAGAAGACAAACCTAATATGGCTGGATTATGATCATCTGGCAACCCCAGGAGTACCAAGGGCTAAAGTGGAACCATGGAGTGAGCTCTAGATACTTGGGGTCCAGCTCTAAAAATTAAACATATACCAAAGACAAGCAATTCCCTTGAGGGAAAGCGAATGTGACTGCAAGGCCCTTGTCACTGTGGAGGTTTAGGTACCATTTTAGACACATTTCATTTATCTGCTAACAAACCCCATCAAGTCCCTTGGCCAAACTTTACCTTTCGCACATTAAAAGTTTTGCTTCTGAGACCCCTCCCGAAGGTATTGCCTTACCAGAGACGTGTGGGAGATACAGGATCCCCATAGATGGAGCTAGAGTGGGGGGCCTTTTTAGACATTTGGCATTATACGTGGCATTATACGTGACACAGCCGGCATGCTTCTCTAGAGCACAAGTAGATGGCACGGGCCACCAATCAGAAACACAGAATCGCACCCAGGCAGTGCTTGTTTGTGGGAGGGAGAGAAGGATACGTTTAACCCTACTGGTGCCCACCCCTACTCACTCCGTTAACAGATCAACTGCAGATAAAGGCCAGGATTCTCCCTGCTAACCAATGAGTATTTTAGGGCTTTCACGTGGAGTGGAGCTCCTGAGGAGTCTCCCAGAGTGAGGAGATGGCACTTCAGAAGCCTGAACCTGCAGCGGAGGCCCCATAGCCCTGTACAAAAACAGGAGCTAGGAGCCCCACTGTGACCTCCCGGCTGCGTTTTTTTTTTTCCTGGGAAAGTGGGCTCCATCCTCCTGGGGGGTGCGCTGAATGCTGTGGGAGCGACTTCCTGCTTGCGTTTTCTGGGAAGGTGGACTCCTTCCCCCTGGGGTGCGCCGCATGCTGTGGGCGAGCAGGATTTGTAGAATAAGGAAAACCAAAAGAAAGAGTGCCGAGTTTGCCCAGGTCTGGGATACCCCGCGTCGGCTCTGCCTGTAATGGCCTCAAACTAAATTCCTTTCTGTGTTCCTCTCGTGCCACTCTGCCCAGGATCGCTTTAGAAACCCAGAGGCAGAGAACAAAAGCAGCAAGTTTGTTTTTCCAGAACAAATGGGGCGGATTCAGGTCCTGGCGGAAACAGCCCTGACAGCTGGCTCTGTGTCTTGGGACACTAAGGGCTTTAACGTGCTCCATTCAAGACTGTTTAGTCTGGGTGCGGAGGATTCATTTATCAGCGTTCAGCTCTAGTGTCACTGAGACAGTTCTGATTTCCAGTGATTTCATTATCATCTGTATGCGCCTGCCCCGAAAGAAATGGGACTGAGAGCAGAGTTACTGCGGGGTCACTTAAAAGCGTGTCCCTTTTCATTCATACCCCTTAATGGTGTTGCGAGGGAGGGAGGGGGAAAATCCCTAGTGCTAGAGTACTTAATAAATACCACCTGGCTCAGCATCGCCAACTGCTTCCCGCTGGCTTTTGCAGAAATGGCAATGCATTGAGGATACGTCTGGCAAGCTTCGAATCCACAAGTGTAAGGGACCCAGCGACCTGCTCACCGTCCGTCAGAGCACGCGCAACCTCTACTCTCGCGGCTTGCACGACAAAGACAAAGAGTGCCATTGTAGGGAGTCTGGTTATCGATCCAGCAGAAGCCAGAGAAAGAATCAAAGGCAGTTCCTGAGGAACCAAGGAACACCAAGTAAGCTATACCTCGTGGCAGGCGCAAGCGCTATTGAGACCCTCCCACTCCCGGCGCGACTTAGATATTATTACTGGTAGGCTAGATTTCAGAATAAAAGCAAAATCATTGTTCTGTTTAAAGTAGGGTAGTAAAGATGGGTTAGAAATTTTACTTTGCAAATATTTTCACTTAGTAGAATGAAATCCCCTCAGGCCTCAGAGCGGCAGGAATGAAAGAAGGAATTGCAGTGGATATTCTGCCAGACCAGGGTGGGTGGCTTAGGTCTGTTTTATTTACTGAACCTTCATGGTAATGCCCTGATATGTCTGTCTGCCTTAAGATGCTTTAAAAGTTAAACTTCAGGTATCAGTTCATGTGTGTTTGAACCTGAGAAGAAAAGACAGGAGTAGTTTTTAAAGGCATATTTTTCATGTTTTAGACTGTATTTGTACCTTTAAATGTTGTCAAACTGCTGACAATCTCTATCCTAAAAACTCTCAGGTAGCTGATTGACACGTGAGGTTATAGATTTACAGAAAAACAAAAACAAACCGGGCAGCCATCCATTGAAGTGTGTGAGTTTAGTGCCACCTAGTGGCATGTGTGAGAAGGACTCATCTCTGTGGTGACTTTTCTGTTAGGAAAGTTAACTTTAAACCTGTGTCAAAGAGTTGGACACAAATCGTTCAAGAAAATCATAGGATATTTTGTGCTGAACAAAATGGACTTTAGGATCACAAATACCTTATTTGTATCCAAATTTGACTATTATTCACTTCCACAATTTTTTTCTTTGCCCCACAAATTCTTAAAGAGGTTCATAACCAAAAAAGTTCAGAACCACTGAGTTGGCCAGCGGTGGTGGTGCACACCATTTGAGTTCGAGGCCAGCTTGATCTACAAAACGAGTACCAGAACAGTCAAGGCTACATGGAGAAACCCTGTCTCGAAACCCTCCCCCAAAACCCCACCGAGTTATGGGTTTGTCTTTCTTCCTGGAAGGAGCCTGATCATATTCAAACTACACAAGAAAATCATCGCCAACACAGCCACCCTGACCCAAATGTCTCACTTAGTAACAGGGGCACTCTTCCCTTCCAGAAAGTTCTCACTGTGTGGAATCTCGTGTGACCTAGAACAGGAGTGGGTTTCCTCTTTCCCTGACATGATGGCTATGGAAGTCATCCTCTGTCGTGGGGGTCACGTCTTCATCTGGGTACCAAGGGAGCAGTCTCCCCTGGAGGAGGCTGACAATTCCCATTGCTCCATCTCTTGAAAGTCATCCTCTGTCATGGGGGTCACCTCTTCATCTGGGTACCAAGGGAGCAGTCTCCCCTGGAGGAGGCTGACAATTCCCATTGCTCCATCTCTTGAAAGTCATCCTCTGTCATGGGGGTCACCCCTTCATCTGGGTACCAAGGGAGCAGTCTCCCCTGGAGGAGGCTGACAATTCCCATTGCTCCATCTCTTGAAAGTCATCCTCTGTCATGGGGGTCACCTCTTCATCTGGGTACCAAGGGAGCAGTCTCCCCTGGAGGAGGCTGACAATTCCCATTGCTCCATCTCTTGAAAGTCATCCTCTGTCATGGGGGTCACCTCTTCATCTGGGTACCAAGGGAGCAGTCTCCCCTGGAGGAGGCTGACAATTCCCATTGCTCCATCTCTTGAAAGTCATCCTCTGTCATGGGGGTCACCTCTTCATCTGGGTACCAAGGGAGCAGTCTCCCCTGGAGGAGGCTGACAATTCCCATTGCTCCATCTCTTGAAAGTCATCCTCTGTCATGGGGGTCACCCCTTCATCTGGGTACCAAGGGAGCAGTCTCCCCTGGAGGAGGCTGACAATTCCCATTGCTCCATCTCTTGAAAGTCATCCTCTGTCATGGGGGTCACCTCTTCACCTGGGTACCAAGGGAGCAGTCTCCCCTGGAGGAGGCTGACAATTCCCATTGCTCCATCTCCGCCAGGCTTCTCAGGTGTAAACAAAGGTCAGAGCTTACACGCTAAATCTCTCCTCCAGGACCCAGTGGGCACGAGGTGTACCGTCCCATGGTCCGGATGCACGATGCCCCTTACTCATCACCGTGTGTGTTTAAACATTACCTGGCCTATGCAAGCATTTGCAGATTTACTATTTTTAGAGCATCCCCCTGTATTTGTGTAAACACGAGGTGTTGAGGGCATTCGTCCACTCGAAAAGGCAGCCCAAGGCAGTGGTGAGATGTAAGCTCACACCGCACATCCCGGCTCTGGAGCCCAGGGAAAGGCAAGCAAAACTCAGAGCTTCAGTTCCCTCTTCTGAAACCGTGGCTGATCGCACCAATTCATGTTTGGTGTCTCATGAGTTCTTTCATGTAAGGAACACTATGACAATATCGCGTTTCAAGATTATGGATTCAAGATAGATCTACAGTATCCTAAGAACAATTAAAGCTAAGGGAAAGCTTGTCATTATAAATAATAAACGGGGAACATACAGTTCTTCGTTAACTGCCATAGCATAGCATAGAGCCATTCATGTTGAAAACTAGATGTGAAACCACATAGCCTGCGATTGACAGGGGAAGGGCCTGAGGCCATAGCAGTGTGATGTCTGTCACAGGACACACCCAGTAGAGAGCCTGCTTTTGCCCCGTGGTTTCAGGAGCTATCCCAAGGTACCAAGGTACCAATGAAGCTGATACTGGCTGTCCCTCTCTAAGACCCCAAGGCGACGGATGATATTGTTTTCTCTGCCACGCACACCAGCTCATCTGCATTGTGGCTTTTCCTCTCATTCCAGAATATAAGCCCAGGTTTGTGCACACGCGGCAGACTCGGTCCCTGTCTGTCGAATTTGAAGGCGAAATATACGACATAAATCTGGAAGAAGAAGAACTGCAAGTGTTACCCCCTAGGAGCATTGCTAAGCGCCACGATGAGGGCCACCAGCGGCTGGGAGGCCCTCAGGCTGCTGCTGGTGACATCAGGAATGAGATGCTGGCCGATAGCAACGACGCGGTGGGGCTGCCCACCACTGTCCGTGTGACACACAAGTGAGTCGGCTTCTGTAGTTCCCAGGGTGGAGGTCAGCGTTACCTCACACCCCATACAGTCACCATGTGGGCTTGGCGGAAGGTAGCTAACACTCAGCAATGCCCAAAGGCTTGTCTGCACAACAAGAGGCACAGGGAAGCAGGGAGAAGCTGGAACCAGCAGCAACCTCCATATGTTCTTTGGGTTCTGTTTCGTATTTAGCTAATTGGCCAGGAACCCAGTCAGAGCAAGTCTCCCATATTTTAACTTAGCGGTTAAGTTTCTATCCCCAAGTTGTTACCTACAGAAGTGTCTGGAAATCGTTGGAAACAATTCTAGGGACTGCTGGGGACTGTTTCATGCTCCATGGTCCCCCCTGACTTAGAGCATTGCAGAATCCAGCCTCAGAACTGAATACACCTTGAAGAAAGACAATGGGTCACAAAGAAACTTCTAGAAAATGGTTGTGGGCTAGGAATGGGTATGTAAGACACAGAAAAACCTGACCTGCCTCACAAGAGCAGACAGAAAGGATTGGAAGTCCTACCGACAAGAAACAAACACTATTTCCATAACTTTAAATTTATTAGATCTTCATTTTATCCCCAATGCCATCACCATGGAGTACCAGTTGACCCCAAATTTAGATTTGTTAGAATCACACCCCCATGTCCACCCAGTTCTATCCCTGAATTGTTACTTTGTTTCAAAACTTAATGGTATGTGGGACTAGGGACCTAGCTCAGCTGAGAGAATGTTTACCTAGTTGGCAACAATCCCTAGATTTGGGGCTGGAGAGCTGGCTCATAGCATAAGAACACTTGGCTGCTCTTCTGGAAGACCCAGGTATGGCTCCCAGCACCACATAGATAATCACAACTGTCTGTAACCCCAGTGTCAGGGGATCCAACACCCATTCTGGCTTCCACAGATGCTACATGTCCCTGGTCAATGGGTGTGCATAAAGAAAAAACACCTCTACACACAAACTACAATGGTAAAATAAGCCCTGGGATCTGGAGTTGATCACACACTATATAAACTAGGCATCCGGGAGTACACCTAGGATCCCAGCCCTCAGGAATTCAGCAGGATCAGAAGTTCAAGTCCAACCTGGGATACATGAAACTGTCTTAAGAGTGACCTAGTTGTGCAATGGTGGTGCACGCCTTTAATCCCAGCACTCATGAGGCAGAGGCAGGTGGATCTCTGTGAGTTCGAGGCCCAGCTAGTTCCAGGACAGGCTCCAAAGCTGCAGAGACTATGTCTCAAAAATTTAGAGAGAGAGAGAGAGAAAGAGAGAGAGGACCCTAAATGGAGAAGCTGAGGGTCTAGTTCACCTCAGTGTAAAATGCTTGTCCAGCCAGAGACCCAGGTTAGAGCCTTAGAATGGCAAAACAGGAAAAGGAAAATATCAGAGTGTAAGTGGAAATACTTGAGGTAAGGCAAAATAATGGAATAATATGTTTCTTCCAAGAAGTCATTTTGCATTTGTGACTGAAAATCCACACACACACACACACACACACACACACACTTTAAAAGCTTGAGTTGGAGAGTGGAGTTTATTCAAGGGATGATGAATATGAAAAGCAGCGACAAGGTGTTCTGGGGGATGACCTAGTCACAAGCAGTGACCCTACCCCTCATCCAGCCACTGGCCAAGATGCATTCTCCTTTACCCTTGGGTAGAATCAGTTCTAAGCTTGGTGCTTGTATCTATACGAAGAGGTTGAAAGGTATTGAGTTCTCTTTGCTAGCTCTGGTGTTTCCTGATACTAGACCATAAGTCTGTTTCTCTTGGTCCTGTTTGGTTTTCAGATGCTTCATCCTTTCAAATGATACAATCCATTGTGAGAGAGAGCTGTACCAGTCGGCCAGAGCGTGGAAGGACCATAAGGCCTACATCGACAAAGAGGTCAGTGTTGGGCTGGGATAGAGCTCAGTGAGAGAGAGCTTGATAGTTGTAAATAAGGACCTTAGTTCTAGCCCAGCACCACAAGCATGCGAAAACACAGAAAGTGGTCCACGTGGCCGTGTGCTCAGAAAGCGATCCGGGTGGCCGTGTGCTCAGAAAGCCATGCGCGTGGCCGTGTGCTCAGAAAGCGATCCACATGGCCGTGTACTCAGAAAGCGATCCGCATGGCCGTGTGCTCAGAAAGCCATCTGCGCGGCCGTGTGCTCAGAAAGCGTTCCGCGTGGCCGTGTGCTCAGTCTAACTCTCTTGTGCCAGGGTGACCCACATGGCTCTGTGCTCAGCTGCCCAGCTGCTGTAAAGGATAAACATTTCGTGTGTACCCATCCTCCTTTTCGTAATTGCCTGAAAACTGGGAAATCCTTAGCAAAGTCCTCACCCAAATTCCTTTCATGAGCACAGTGCTTTAGTATTTTCCCACGAGTGATCACACAGATATTGAGTATATGCTGTAATCTAGAGGACACTAAATAAAATTGTGGCCTCTGTCTTTTGGCATTCTAAGTATTCATTTGTATGATAACTTGTTTATATTATTTAGAATTTCAATTGAATTTCAATGAAATTAAAAAATCAAAGCTCTTGTAAAAACTATTTTATATTAAAAAAAAAAAAACTGGAAAATCCACCAAGGTATTTATCTTCCTCTAGTTACATAGCAATAGCCCTACTGAAAGCAAGCATGGGAAAAACAGGGATGAACACAATAGTCTTTTGGATATTTTTGAGAAAAATATTCAGTTATGAAGAGGTATCTATTAGTGTTTCTGTGGCACACTGATTGGGGTGTAGGTGGGATATAAATGTGTTCTCTGACTCGCTCTTCCCAGCTGGTCTCTGGAACAGCAAAGAAGGTGGACTATTTTTTGTTAAGAAAAATCCTGATCTTAGAAGGGAATTGTGTGAATGTGTGTTTTCCAGATTGAAGTTCTGCAAGATAAAATTAAGAATTTAAGAGAAGTGAGGGGACACCTAAAGAAAAGGAAGCCGGAGGAATGTAGCTGCGGTAAGCAGAGGTGAGCACACATCCCAGGGTCACTTCACTTCCCGACACCAACGAGCCAGGGGTAGCTGGAGGCCAACTTCTCTTTCTTAATGCCATACATGAATCCATCGCCATAAGGCATATTGTTCTCATCCACTTAATGTGTGTGTGTGTGTGTGTGTGTGTGTGTGTGTGTATGTGTGATGAGCCATTTAATCAAATGAAGGGAGATATAGATAGAAATAGATATAGATATAGATATAGATATAGATATAGATATAGATATAGATATAGATATAGATAGATGAGAGACTGACTGACTTTTTAATCTTCTGGCCTGCAGCTATTACAACAAGGAGAAAGGTGTGAAAAGGCAAGAGAAGTTAAAAAACCATCTTCACCCTTTCAAGTGAGTAACTCCGCGAAGTGAGTAACTCCGCGTTTGTGGTGTTTGCCAGGAGTCAGGGACTGTCCACAGTGACTGGAGGGACCCCTGTGTTCCACAGGGACTTCTCCTCCATGCCTGGTCCTCTGTGGGGATCGATGGAGAGTAACAGACCCTGAACTAAATTAGGCTGTTTAGCAGAGTAGCCGCAACAGTGCTGACCTCTCGGAATGTAAGGAAGCATGCGGACATTAAAGCGATAGCAAAAGTTGTATGTGGAAGAGCATTTGTGTTTGAGTACCAACAAACTTTAAACTATGTGGGAAAACAAATCACCTGCCAAGGCTCAGGGAAGTCAAAAGAGTGGACGAGTTAGAAGAGGACGAGGAGCGCCGTAAAATAGTGTTCTTGGACCGGGGCTTTGCTATTGGTCTCCTGAACTCAGTAGCAGTGATTACAGGCATGTGATCAAGCCAACCACAGTGCTGGCATGGGTGAGGGCGGAGCTCATGAGGCCCACCCCTGAGGAGCGATTGGCAGTTGATAGCCCCTGGAGGAGGGAGAATCGTTCTTCTGTAGGGGTGTGGTCACTGGTGGGTTGTCCATGCTCCAGTAGATGGCCCCCACCCCTGCACATATGGGCAGCAGTAATTAACCTCAGTGACTTGAAGAAAGGAAGGAGAGAGGGAGGGAGGGAGAGAGATGGAGTTGGGAAGAGGATGCATAGAGGGAGATGTGGCGGGGGCAAGCAGGAGGTGGATATAATCATATCTAATATACATGGATAGAATTTAGAATTCCAAAAAATAAATATTTTAAAGAAGAAACATGATAAAATATTTATTTTAAAAACGTATCATATATAATTTGCCCAATGGTTTTTAATCCACTTATTGTATGCTGTCCCATCCAAACTAACAATTCAATGACTCTGTGGCTGCCTGACAGGTACAGAGCTCCCAGGAGATCATATCATTGTCCATGGGTTGTCATGCACTGACTCATGCCAACAATTATCTCCATCAATGCCTCAGAACAAGTAACTGTCAGGCTTACTAAAGTTACGGGAGAACTGTCACTCAGTGAGTTTGCCTCCTTGACACCGGCTATCTTTGAAGCTGTCTATGAGAACCAGAGGTCACCTGAGGTCGTGTTCCACGTACACTCGTGTGTCTTCCATGTACACGTTTGTGCAAGGCTGTTCGTAAAGTCCTCTCTGGTCATCAAAACAGTTCCTTGTCTTGGTCTAGGGAGGCTGCTGCTCAGGAGGTGGACAGCAAGCTGCAACTCTTCAAGGAGAACCGCCGGAGGAAGAAGGCGAGGAAGGAGAAGAAACGCCAGAGGAAGGGGGAAGAGTGCAGCCTGCCTGGGCTCACCTGCTTCACACATGACAACAACCACTGGCAGACCGCCCCCTTCTGGAACCGTAAGTCCCCCAACGGCGCCTCCTCCAGGAGTACAGGGAGCACCTCTCCCTAACATAGGCTAAGAATCCTACAGAGACTAAAAACCAATTATGAGTGAGTACATCCCATGTTCCTCTTTTTGGGTCTGGCTTACCTCACTCAGGATAGTGTTTTCTATTTCCGTCCATTTGCATGCAAAATTCAAGAAGTCATTGTTTTTTACTGCTGAGTAGTACTCTAATATGTATATATTCCATACTTTCTTCATCCATTATTCCATTGAAGGGCATCTAGGTTGTTTCCAGGTTCTGGCTATTACAAACAATGCTGCTATGAACACAGTTGAGCATATATTTTTGTTGTATGATAGGGCATCTCTTGGGTATATTCCCAAGAGTGGTATTGCTGGGTCCAGGGGTAGGTTGATCCTGAAATTCCTGAGAAACCTCCACACTGCTTTCCAAAGTGGTTGCACAAGTTTGCATTCCCACCAGCAATGGATGAGTGTACCCCTTACTCCACAACCTCTCCAGCAAAGGTTATCACCTCACTAGACCTGGAAGGAGGTGGGAGGTCCTTGAACTTCCCACAGGGCAGGGAACCCTGACTGCTCTTTGGCCTTTGAGGGAGGGGGAGTTGATTGGGGGAGGGGGAGGGAAATGGGAGGCAGTGGCGGGGAGGAGGCAGAAATCTTTAATAAATAAATAAATTTAAAAAAAAAAGAATCCTACAGAGAACACAGCAGCCCAGGGTGATCCAAAGGAAAATGCCGTATTGGTCTGTGCTCAGATCGTTTTGCTGGAAAAACAATTTTTCCTTTAGAATCTATTTTTTGTTTTGTTTGTGTTCATTTTTGTTCTGATTTTTGAAGATGTTGTCTTGCTATGGATTCTCAGCTGGCCGAGAACTGTGTAGGCCAGGTTGGCCTCCCATTTACAGTCTTCCTGGCTCTCCCTCTCAAATGCTGGGATTACAGGTGTACTAGTTTTGATTCCTAGAAAGACTTGGTTTTTCTGTTGAGAGGTACCAAGTCTCTCCTTGAGGTCTCACACAGAGGCTGCCCTAGGTGGTTACTTCCCAATAAACCCACCCAAGTCAGTAGCAATAAACACCTGGGCAGTTTTGCCTGAACGAAATTGGTTTCTGCCCTAACTCTAACGCAGGTGTCTTAAAAGGAATAAAAACACAGTAAAGATACTATCAGTGCAGGGCCCACACCCTCCTTATCCTGTGCCCCTTTGACCATGGGGTCCTTAAAAGTCTTCCATTTTGTCTGGGATGGCAGAAGATACGGAATATCTGTGTCCTTTTGAAGAGTGCTTTTGTTTCTCTGTTTCCTACATGGTGCTCTCAGCAGTAGAGGGATCATGCCCAGGATCTAGAGGCCTTGACTGAAGGCTGACCAGGAGCACAGATAAAAACCCCAGTCTTCCAAGGGTCAGTGGAGGGCATCCAGGCAGCTTCCAAACTGGAGGTCTCTTGAGATGGCGGACCTGCTCCGGGCAGCTCAGTACTGCCCCTGCTTGAGTTGTGTGTTTCTTTGCCTGTGTGTTCACAATCACAGTGAGGCTAAGTACCTCTTAGTCATGGCATTCAGTTTTTAACGTAGCTCTTGAAATGGAGTTTGTGGTGTGTGTGTAGGGGGGGATGTCCCTATGGGCTATTCAGATTGCTGAGGGTTCGGTGTCTGTCCTCATCACACGTTGGTTCTAGTGGGAAGGGGGAAGGCAGGTAACCAAATGAGCCAAGCAAAATGATTACACTTTGTAGCCATGGAATGAAGGAAACGGTGACTAAAGAGTTTGAGGGTACCCGTTAGAGATGAAGAAGATAGTACACGTGGTAACCATCTTCTCACCGCCATGGGAATGATGACTGAGAGAGTCAACTTGAAAAAAGAAAACACTCATTTCAGCCCAGAGTCTTAGAGGTTTTGTTTGGTTGATCGGTCTTCTTACTTTGGGACTCGTGATAGATGGATCTATCTATCTGTGGTGGGGAGTCACAGGGGAGCATGTGATAGAGGGATCTATCCACCTCATGGTGTCTAGGAAGCAAAGAGAGAAAGAAGGAAGGCAGCCCCCTCCTCCTCCCGCCCCCACCCCTGCCCCTGTGGTCATCATCAAGCGTATGCCCCAGGGATGTCTTGCTGCCTACAAGGTCTCAGCTCATAAAGGTTTGATTGCTTCCCAATAGCACTGCTCAGGGGGCCTTGAGGGGCAGTCAATGTCCAGCAATGGGTCTTTTACAAAAGTGATGGTTAGGCTGAGACCCAAGAGCTGTAGTGAAGTTGTCCAGATGGAAGAGATTAGCATCCCAGCAGAGTGAGCTTGTGAGCAGGGGTCAGAAGTTTTATACTTGTATATTTTGTGAAATAAGTTCACAACATGTTTAAATTATTGATTTGGAAATTTTCCTTTTTTGGCGGGGAGTTCGAGACAAGGTTTCTCTGTAGCTTTGGGGCCTATCCTAGAACTAGCTCTTGTAGACCAGGCTGGCCTTGAACTCGCAGAGATCCGCTGGCCTCTGCCTCCTAAGTGCTAGGATTAAAGGCGTGTGCCACCACCACCCAGCTGGTTTGGAAATTTTCTATATAAATTAAAAAATACTGATTGCCTGGATTTTAGTATGTAAGTATGAACTAAATAAACATTCATATAAAATAAATATAAATTATAAATGACATACTGAAAGTACTTTCTATAAAAAATCAAACAGATGAAAATATACTCCATTTTTTTAGATATTCTTTTGTAAAAATGTGTCTGGGATGAAGGAGAGGTGACTGTGGAGAACACAGAACACAGGGGAGTTGAGATCAATAAGACCAAAATCTCTATGCCAACATGACTGACACATGTCATTGTCATTGGCACGCAGGAGGCAGAGGCAGAAGGACCATCGCGAGACTGGGGTTAGCCTGGGCAGCATGGTCCAAATCCATACACTGGGCAGCAGAAAGAGTAGTGTGTGTAGGTTTGCCAGCTGACGCAAGTAAGTCCCTTTGAGAAACATCAGCAATAGGGAGGTTGCAGCCCGTAATGGTCAGTTATGGAGCACGATGTACCTCCCCTTCAGCTTTTAACTGCCCCCCAAATCTGGTCAGTTAAAACATTTAAACGCATAATCCCCTCTCATTCGCTATTTCAAAGATCCCCCTTAGCTCGCAGGGCCAGATCTGGTGTCTTCAATATTGCAAAGGGCAGTTGTCTCATAGCTAAGTCAGCCTTCCAGCTGGACTCCCCGCTGCCAGCTGTCAGTCACCTGATTCTGGGCCTCAGTTTTCCCATCTATGAGTGGTTATGGATACAACAATATGTCTAACAGTTCTTTGAGAACTGTAAACGAGCTAAGCGATTCAAACATTCTACATCAGAGGTGCATTCCTTTGACTGTACCTATCTTAAACGTTTTAAGAAGTAGTTTTGAAAACAGTTATGAAACCCCATCATCACTCCCTCCATTTTTATAAGAAAAAGAATGGATGGCTGGTTTTAAAATTTGATGTCTCTTAAATACTTTCTACTAGTTAGCCAGGGAGCCTCTCTATGTACAAAAGGTGTTGATAGTCAAATCTCATCACATATTAAAATATTGTAGAAAGTTCTTGGGGTAACTCAGCCAGTAAAGTGCTTTGCCATGTAAGCATGAAGACCTGAATTCATTCACCCAGGACCCATAGAAGTAGCCTTGGTAACCATGGTTACAATCTCATTGCTAGGGAGAAAAATAGGCAACTCCCTGGGACTGTGGCCAGCCAGTGTAGACTGCTTTGGTCTGGGAATTCCAGACAAAAGAGAGATCTTGTCCCAAAAGCAAGGCGAGTGTCACCTGAGGAACGACACCCAGAGTTGTCCTCAGCCCTCTACATGTATGCACATGGGAACCCTCCCACATGCGAGCATGCGTGCTCCTGTGCACACACAGACAGGGCTGCAGAGGCCTTCCATAATTGCAAATAGCATCACTTCCAGTTCCATGAAGCTGGGTTCCACCCTCGTCTCAGACTCTGTCTTCCCAATGCATAGTTGTGACATTGGCTGTGTGACCCTGAGACAGTGAGGACACTAGTTCTGTCCCTTCATGAGACAGCCATGTTTTCCTCTTCCAGAAAACACAAAATACCCACTCTTCTCCAACCACTCACCCCATTTTGGAGACCACCGCCTTCCAGAATTAAGGAGGGTAACTAAGTCAGGGGCCTGCAAAACTTGACCTTGGTCTCCAGTCTGTGAGAGTCCCCTGCATTTTCCCAAAATGAATAGAGGGGAGGATGCCGTTCTCTTGGACAGCCAATCACACAGTGTTTATTAGAAAGCAACCCTAAAGCTCGTAAAGAGGTACTGACATGGACAGCTTGTGAAGGTTTCTCGTTCTTTTCACTGGGCTCTTTTTCTCTCTTTTCTGACAGTGGGATCTTTCTGCGCATGCACAAGCTCCAACAATAACACATACTGGTGTTTGCGTACAGTTAATGAGACACACAATTTTCTCTTTTGTGAGTTTGCTACCGGCTTTCTGGAGTATTTTGACATGAATACAGATCCTTATCAGGTAAGAAAATATGCTTTCCTTTGTTGAGAGCGGTTGGAAATGGGATAGCCAGTCACGTGCTCACCTCCATTGTCCTGACCACTCTGTCCACAGCTCACGAATACAGTGCACACCGTGGAAAGGGGCATTTTGAACCAGCTACACATACAGTTAATGGAGCTCCGAAGCTGTCAAGGGTATAAGCAGTGCAACCCGAGACCCAAGAGCCTTGACGTCGGTAAGGAAAAAAATATTACTTCTTTCTGTTGTATTTAGAAAACTCTTTGTATGATCAAGATTTCTCCTTTCGAAACATTTCTGTGCATAAGCATATAGTTTAGAGCACTTACAGGAGAATCATTGCCAGCAGCTCCAAACATAATTTGATTTCTGAGTCTCACACCTGGTTACAGCGATGGGAAGCTGAGTTGACTGACGGACCAAGTGTGAGTAACCCTTCACTCTCTTGCATGCATCTGCTTTATCAGAAAACCTCAGTTCCAACAGAAGCATCCATGGGAAGGAGAAATCAAGGTTTTGGGGGTTCCTTATGGTCCCCCTTAACAGTTCTAAGTAAACCAGAAGCTCTTGTTACAGTAACTTAGTGGAGACACACAGTGCCCTGCTTCTTGTTACCGTCCAGAATCATCCACCCCTATCTGAATCCCTGCCCAGGACAAGGGAATTCCAGTGCTTTTACCACCGACTCCCATTTGAAAAGCTCATAAACTTGGAGTGTGAGATGGTGCTGAGAAGATGTCCCCATTCTGCCCAGTGTGTGTACCTGAATTTTTTTCTCCGTTTGGTTTGCATAGACACGGCACTGTTTGCTCAGCCTTTGCCTCACCAGCAAAAGTCATTGTCCCATTTCTATAGAAATGTAAATGTCAGCTACTCACAGAAGGGAAGAAAAAGAACTGGAGACTACCCTGACCCGACAGAATGACAGGCTCAAGCCACTGGTTTTGGAAAGCACTTTGCAGGAGTCCCCACACACTTTGTGAGATGCGGTCTTACTGTACATAGCTGGACTGACCTCCGACTTACTGTGTAGCCCAGTATGGCCAGTCTCCCAAATGTTGAGACTCTAGGTCTAAGTTGCAATGGCTGACTTGCAATCTCTCTCTCTCTCTCTCTCTCTCTCTCTCTCTCTCTCTCTAGTTTTGATTATATGCACATGTCTGTGTCTGTATATGGGTTTTTTGCACATAAGTGCAATCCCCAAAGAGGCTGAATAGCTGAATAGAGAGAATGTTCTTATGCCCTGGAGCTGGAGTTACAGGCAATTGGAAGCCACAAACTCTGATTGCCTGAAGACCACTTTGTTCTCTTAACCAGTGAGCCATTTTTCCCCATTCCAGATGGAACATATTTAATGCAATAAAGTCTCAACCTGTGGGTTGTAGGTTCTGAGTAGAGCCAGCATCCCTAGTAATAAAAATGGCAGCTGTCTGGTCATGCCAACTTTTTTTGTTGTTGTGATAAAGCATCAAGGCCAAAAGCCACTTATGGAAAAAAAAGTTCATTTTTGCTCTACAGTTCCTGGGATAAGAGCCCATCATGATAGAAAAGCATAGCAGCAAGTGGTTGGCAAGGTGGATGGAGCAGGAAGCTGTGAACCACAAAGGAGAACCAGAGAGAACAGCAATAACGGTGACATCATAAACACCCAAAGCCCCACCACCAACTACCTCTCCACGGTTCTATAACCTTCCCCAAAAAGCTCCTCCAATTGGGGACCAAGTGTTCAAACATCTGAACTGATGGGGGACCACAGACTTGAAGGGAGAAATGAGGTTCTTCTCCCAAAACAATCAGTCCACTTGCTTGTCATTTCCATCACCGAAGGGTCCTAGATCAAACAGCCTACAAGAAAGCCCAGCAACGTGTCATGGCTCAGTTCTCCATCAACGCTTAGGGGAGATGGCCCAATCAAGAACCAGGCCTGCAAAGTGGGTCTTTTGGATGCTTCCTTCACTCAGTGTGAAGCTTTGGAAACACCCTGCTTCTATGCTGACCTTTTCCAGAAATCAAAGAGAGAAAAGGAGGGATGAAAAGGGGGAGAAAGCCAACCTGTGAAGGCCTGGGATCTAAGCCAAACTATTAGACACACTAGAAATATTACATGAAGCTATCATTCCCCAAAAGAATACAACTTCATCGTCATCGGCCATGACTTCCCAGCTCCACTGTGACCCTACGTCATCGGTGATGAGTGGCCAGCTCCATTGTGACCCCACATCATCGGAGATGACTCACCAGCTCCACTATGACCCTACGTCATCCGCGATGAGTGACCAGCTCCACTGTGACCCTATGTCATCAGCGATGACTTCCCAGCTCCACAGTGACCCTACATCATCGGTGATGAGTGGCCAGCTCCATTGTGACTCCATGTCATCGGCAATGACTCACCAGCTCCACTGTGAGAAACCTGATAGGGTCCTTAATGGTGAAATGACCGGCCAGGTGGGGCCTCATGACCGCTGTGCACTTACAGTACCCCCTCCGGCGTCTAGACTGCTCCTGTGGGAGGTTATTATTGGCCTCCTTTTTCAAGAACAGCCCCACCCCTCCACCACCGCAAAAAATATTTTTAATTTACTCAGAATTACAGGAACTTCTGGAAACACTTTTCTCACTGTTTTCTTGTTCTCGCCTCATTTTGTCCTTTTACATGTTGTTTTGCCTTAGCACGCAATCCTTTTGAGACTAATTAATAAACTCTCAGTTGGCTGTCGATGCTGCCTGTATTTAACACAGTACGTTTCTTTCTAGGATTGAGATGTGTTCGTGGAAGCTGCGTAGTGAAAGGTCCTATGGGTTCTAAAGCTAACTGATTCCTCTTCTCTTTCCCTGTATCAGGAACTAAAGATGGAGGAAGCTATGACCTACACAGGTATTCATTCTTCATTCTCAGCAGCCTCTTTCCCGTAACTGCATGACAGGCCATTTCAGCTCACTTCCGTTTCTTGCCATCACGCACAGAATGGAGGCCGCGGTGCATGTGTGTCGTAATGCCATCCTCATTCCCATCAAGTCCCTGGTTCCAGACACGTCCTTCTGCTTCTAAATCAATTCATCTGCCCGCCCCCCACCCCACGAGATGCCGCTCTGAGCATTTCCTCTCACCCTGCATGCCCTGCCTGTTTGCTTTTTGAATGATGCTTTAAAGCAAGGAATGCTGGGACGGGAGAATGGAGATTGGTTTCCTGTGCTTTGTTTCTACAATTGAGTGGAGAGGCTGCATGGGACTGAGAGATTTTTTTTTTCATTTAAGAATACTGCTAATAATTTTAAAAAAATTTAAAAACTAAGGGAAAATTTGAGAACACTCTGAAACTGAAGTCAGAAAAAAACAAAGAATTTCCCTGTGCGCAGTCATTGATTAACTTTGGTGGCAAAAGCAGTGGCCATAAGGAGAATTCGGATGGAGGGAAATGAAGAGACGGTGTCAGGGGTTAGGGACAAGGTGGTCAGGATCAAACGGCAAGTTCCTAACATACACGAGAACGATAATCCTGACACATGGAGCTTCGTAAATAGCCTCACCTTGATATCACCCCCAACCTACATCCTTCTCTCCTACATGGAGGAAGGCATACGCCTGGGAGCTTATCCACTGATCACCCAGAAATGTCAGCCATTGTTGATTTTCTATGCTGAGCCTAGGCTCTGGAAGACTTGCCTGAAATGTGCCAATTTTGGCGTGGGTGTATAAACTGTCCTTACCATCAGTGCTGGGGCTTTGGTGTGTCCAAACTCTAGGCAATGCACTTGCTTAAGGCCCAATTTCCTACCAAAGCAGGATGCTTTAGTTGGCACCACCCACTCTGATACCTCCTCAGAGAGACTAGAGAGCCTCCGGGGATACCTCCCACCAGCTTCCTGAGCTGGGAGCTCACATGCTTCCCTTTAGAAGCAGCTCATTGATCCAGAGAAGCTAAATGACATCAAGAAAGGCAGAAGAAAAAAAGAAAACTGGGCTATTGGGGACATTTTATGGTTACTTCTCCATCCTCCATCTGCCCCTGTACCAATCCTATGCCATCCCCAGAAAATATAAACAAGACAGAACCAAGCCTACTCTTAAGGTGGCCATCCCCAAGAACAGGCTGACAAGGCACTGTCCAAGCTGGCCTGGAACTCTTTAGTCAGTGATCCCAAAGGACAACCTTGAATTTCTGACCCTTCTCTCCCTCCTTCTAAGTGCTAAGATTATGAGCACGTGCCACCTCATCCATTTTACATCATGCTGGGGATTGAACCAGGGGCTCTGTGTATGCTAGGTGAGCACTCATTTCAATTGGGCTACATCCCACCCTAATGTCTGCTAATTTTTAATATTCTATTTTCATATAACGTGGCATTTACAGAAAAGCTGTTGGAACAGATCTAAGTGCCCCATTTGCTTCCCGTCTCCAGTTTCCTCTCTCTTCTCATACAAATGCGCTTTCTATGTCAGCTCTGGGTGATCTGCAGGTATCATGTCCTTTGGTGTAGAAATGTTTTACTGTGTGCTTCCCAAGGACATTTTTGCCCATCGCCGTCGAACACTAACTAAATGCAGGCCATCAACATGAACCAGGGCCATTACCTAATTCACATTTCGAGGCCACATCTTGCCAAATATTCCAATCAGGTCATGTTTATGGTATATGGTTTCGGATCTTGGATTCAATCCAGAATGGTATATCATATAAAATCGTTGCTTTTCTTAAGTGCCATCCCTACTGGAACAGTTTCTCAGCTTTTCGTTGTTGGTGATGACATTTCATAGGCCACCAGCCAGTTTCTTTCATAAAATGCCCTCAACTTGATGTTTGTCTAGAGTTTGCACATCTAGGTGGGAGTTGTCTGTCTGGGAGAGGACTATTATTGCCAACAGCGCCGTGCCCTGGGAATACCTTCTCTGGGTTTTTGTCATTTGGCTAACACAGTGTTTGTGAAGCTAGTCCACTGTGCAGTTGCTTGTCTTTCTCTCTGATGAACAGCCGACTAGCTTTGGCGGGCAGTTGTGACTTCTGCCTGATCGTTCACTGTGCTAGTTTGATTTTGTCTGGTGTTGGAGCAAGCACTGTATGTCGGAGCCCCACTCCAGCCTGGAGTTATTTATTATTAATATGATGGCTGCAAATGGATTTTTTCCTAGATCCATTGTTCCGCCTGTGTTTCTCAATGTGTTCTCCCACAAAGAAGTAACTTCCCATGTCATCTATCACTTGTGTAAGGATGAGCAAAGCTTCTCAGTTTCCTCAGGATATTCTCCTATCATGTAATGACCACTATTGTCACTTTCAGTCCTCTGTGTGATTCTGGAAAGATTCCCCTTGTTCTTGAATACTTGCTTGATACCCTGAAATAGGTCCAGGGTCATCTTCTATTTTGTCACCCAACTTGCAGCAGCAGCCATTGCTGGGCACCCATCCCTGTTTGAGACATCTGGAAAGTGAGCTCCAGATGTGTACTCAAAATTGCACAGCTGCTGAAGTGACTGGGCATGCATGTCCGTCCTTTCACCTGTGCAGAGTATCTCAGAAGTGAACTGTCCTTCCATCGTGACCTCACCCTGTCCTTAGTCCTAACGAGGGAGCTTTTAGGCTATTGCCACCAAGAGAGAGTTAGAATTCGGGACCGAGTGTGTTTGCCATCATCACACTAAGGAAACAGTCAATCCATTTTCTTGTCAGTGCTTTGCCATCAGTGAAAACCAAATTTGTCAAACTAATCAGCATCTATGATACGCCCAGATAATTTTTCTTTATTGATTTACAAATAAGTTACATTATATGAATATAACTGCTAAGAAAAAAAAAACCTTTCATTCCTGGGCTAAATTTTGGGGGGTCGCTGTTCGTGCTTTTCTTAATAGAATATTGAATTCTTTTCACTGTGGTTATGAGGAACCTACATTTACCAGCAAGATCTGCCTATAATCTTCCTGCTCTTGGTGCTGGCACTACTGTTCAATTATGGTCTTAGTTTCTTATGGTCACTGTAGAAATTTGTGGACATATCTCCAAACGACATGTACATATTTATGTTTCCAGGGACATGAAGTTTAAAATGTCTCTTCTGGGCCTAAAGCTGTCAGTAGGCTTGCATTCATTTCAGCTTCAGAGAACTCTGTCCTTTCTGGTTTCTTAAGTGGCTTCATCTATTCCTCGACCATGGCCTCATCTCTGAAGGCAGCAACATGAGCATCTGTTGTTCCTCTCCGCCCCCATCCTCTCCCACAGTCAAGTCTCCTCTGTCTGTTCTGCTTCTCCACAAGGCCATGTCCCTAAGGTCCCTGGTGGTTATCTTGACTCCACCTGAACATTGCCCCATCAAAATGTGTGACGCTGTCACACTTGTGGCTCCCTTTTTCCTCCTAAGGTGATGTCCACGGCTTCTGAGGAGTTGGATGTGGACATGTATGAGGTAAAGGGAGCCATTGTTCTGTCTTACTTTACCGTCGGTGTTGTATTTGTTTCGCCAGTGGTGTCCTGGCGCCTTTGCTTCCTTTCTGTTTTCTAGAACAGTTTGTAGAGCCTCGGGGCTCTAGGGTGGGCAACATCCTCCCGAGAAAGCACATGGGCCCAATGCTTCTTTACTGAGTGGTTTCTAATAACCTCTTATTGGGTAGGAAACTGCTTTGTTTCGGCTTCCTGTCACTGCTACGCTGCCTGAGCAAGCTGCTTCCTGAGCAGTTATTATGTATTCGCATCTGAAGGACCTGGATGAAAAGGAGGTTGAGGTAACATGAAGAATTGCATAGTTGCACCAGCCTCTCCCCAAGTCACTCTTCCTTAGACAGCTTGAAATCCTCCCAATAGCTGTCCTCCATTAGCTTCTCTTGATGGTGCCATTTTCTCCTCTCATTCTCAACTTCTTGGCCAGTTCCCTATGGAACCAGGACTCTGAACGGTCTGTGCAGTATGCTGTATATACAATGTACCTGTTTAAACTATGGAACAGAAGTTGGGCATGGTAGCACAGGCCTTTAATCCCAGAACTCCAGAGGCAGAGGCAGAGGCAGGCTGATCTCTGTGAGTTCAAGGGCAGCCTTATCTACAGTGAGTTAATTCCACAACAGCCAAAGCTTCACAAAGAAATCCTTTCTTCAAAAACCAAGAGAAAGAGAGGGAGGGAAGGAGGATGGGAGGGAGGGGAAGAGGAAGAGAAAAGGAAAAAGGAAAGGAAAGGAAAGGAAAGGAAGAAAGAAGAAATAGCTGCTGGCCTAAGAAGCAGAAAGTTTCTATGGGTGTGAAAATTTATAAATTTCAGCAGTTCAAATTGGTCAATATCTTCTGTTTCAAACTAAAAAAAAAGAGAAAGAGATTTCTTTATTATGTATAGTGTTCTGCTTTTATGTATACCCCTGCTGGAGGCCAGAAGGGGGCACCAGATCTCATCATAGATGATTGTGAACCACTATGTGGTTGCTGGGAATTGAACTCAGGACCTCTGGAAGCGCTTTTAACTGCTAAGCCATCTCTCCAGTCCCTGTTTCAAACCCTTGATGATGTTTTTGAACATTTCATCTAGCGCTGGAACTGCAGAGCCCAGTCCCGAGAGTCTGTTACTGTCCAGACCCAAGAAGCACCCTGAGCCCCGTGTAGTCCAGCTATGCACAGAGCCTTCCCTGGGGAAATGTTGCCCGCGGCCATCTACATCCTCTCCACTTCTGGTGGGCTATAGGACAGCTCTCATCATCACCCCTGACTGGAGGCGTGTGAGGATAGTACATTTAGATTTGGACCATCTCCACATTACTGCAGCCCGTGCCCTGTCCACTCATGTCATACACATAGCTAGGACCTCATGGAGGCTCACCTAAAGCATCCGAGCATCCTTTAGTGATGCCAATGATGTTCCAGGAAGTACTTATTCCAGTCCATCTGATTGGTCTTGGGGGGAGCTTCTTTTAGTACGTGCCCAGGTATTTCACCTTGCATCTCCCGTCACGCCTTCCTCATGAAGATAGTTGCTGGTTTTCCCCCTCTGAAACTTAGCAAGGGTTACATTTCTCTTAATTAGTTGTCCTTGTTTTCTTGTGCTGTCCAACTGTTTTCCTGCAGCCGTGGGACCTGAAGGAGAGCTTGGCTGGCTATGAGATTCTTAGTACAAACTGTTTTCTTACCCAAGACAGTTTTCACGTCCTTGGATGCTTGGTTGACCAGCATTGCTGCAGTGTGGCTGATTTCGGCAGGGACATTTTTTATCAAGATCCTATTGTTTATTCTCATTTCTTTTAGAAATATTTTCTTTTAGAGTAATAGTGTGTAGATTAAGTTTGCTCTTATCTCATTAATTTGTAGAGTTTACAAGTTTTCTGGCTTAAAGGGGATCTTTCCTGTCAGTATAACCCAATATATACAATATTCTTACCATTTAACTACTTGAGGCTGGGGGTGGGGGAAGTCACATGCCCTCCGTTGGACCCAAAATGTCCTCCCTTTTGCTGCCCCCTTCCTCTCGCACCAGCTTCCTGGAAGCATCCTTCTTTCCTTTCTTTGTTCCTCTCTCCCTGGAGCACGCTTTCCAGAGACTTCCAGCTTGAGTCCCTCCCAGCACCCTCCCTTGCCATCAGGACCCTGACTCACCTGGATTCTTGACAATGTCTCACACGTGGGGATGACATTTCTTTCCAGGCAACTTCAAATCGACCTTGAGTTCTGCCCTCACTTCTCTTCCCTACTTTTCCCCCAAGGCTGATGCCAGAGTGTGGTGCACAAACTCTGGGGCCGGGAGATGGGTGGGCGTTCATTCTTTGGTATTCCTTCTTTTCTTTCCTGTTTACAGGTGACCTGAAGATCCCAGCCATCTCTCTTATGGTTCCGTCAAAGGCGTGGGTTTTGTGTAGCCTTCTGACTTTCCTTTTTGCTACATAGCTGTGAGGAATTCGTTTCACCAGTCTGGGGCGCCTTTTCCTAGATTTCATCTAAGCACAGTGGAGTCAGGGAAAGCTAGTGTGCTGTGTGTACGCACGAAACCCTCTTGCTCAGAGGCTCCCTGGAAGCAGACGTCCGTGATGAGCCTTATAACTGCAGAAATATGTCTGAGCATCTCACTTGAAGAGCTCAATTTTATTTGCATTCAAAATCGATTTTGAACTGAGTACCAAAGACTACAAAATGCAGATATTGCACTAAGCATTTGCCTACTAATTTAAAATACTGTGTAGGCTATCAATTTCCTGGAAGCCAATGAGTAGAAATGGCTTTGTCCTGTAACTATTCTCCCATTGGACAGCTAGGGACCCAGGTGAGCAGGCTCAGTCTCTTCATCAGGTGGAAGTGTCATTTCCCCACTAGGCATGCTTCTTTGGCAGAGGGTTTCAGTTGCTGGATAGTTTTTCCAATTTTGGCTTTAAAGATGATATTTCATGTATTGAGGTTGACCTCGAACTCTCTGTGTAGCCAAGGATGGCCTTGAAATTCTCATTCTCCTGCAGCCACCTCTTGTGTGTTGTGATTACAGGTGTGTATCTGGTATTATGTGGTCTAGGGATCAAACCCAGGCTTTTGTGCATGCTACGAAACACTTTGCCAACTGACTTACATTCCCAGTCACCTCCTTTTCCAATTCTGTCATTCAGCCACCTTTGTATGTAAAGATCACTCCTCAACATACCAATACTAGGAGAGAATACTTTTTGTTATTGCATTTCCAATTAATTTATAAAACATTACATTGCTCATCCAGTTGAATCAACAACATTTTGTTGCACTAATGAGGTCCCTTGGTTTCTCTTTTCACAGAGGACAATTATGGGATGGATGGGAAGGTTAGTCAGTCCAGCATTGCTTCAGACACCAACTGGCAAGGCCTGGAGGAGTTATCCGGTGTGGATGACAACACCAATGAGTACAGACATAACCCTAGACTCAGTCTGGAGGACTGGACTAGTTACCTGAAGGCTGTAGACAGAACATTTGCACCGCTGAACCCTCACTCCGAGCAAAACAAAGCAAATGGGACTCCAGCTGCTCAAAGCAGTGGCTTCTCAGTCACCTCTGTTGAGCTCTTGATGTCAGCAGAGATGGCCTCTGCAGAGTCAGGTGAAGACCCAAGTCACGTGGTTGGGGAAACACCTCCCTTGACCTTGCCAGTCAACCTCCAAACCCTGCATTTGAACAGATCACCCTTAAGTCCAGAGAGAAGACTTGAATGGAATAATGACATTCCAGAAGTGAATCATTTGAATTCTGAACACTGGAGAACAAGTAGGACTGAGAAAGCGATGGGATGGGAAGAAATCCACTCTCCTGAAGGTGACATCAGTGGCAATGGCATGACCGAGCTGATGTTCCCATCTCATCGCAGGCTACAGCCCTTCAGCCGGCATCAACAAGAACATCCCCAGGATGTGGAGCTGGAAGAGGACGCTTTTGAAGATCAGTGGCATCTTCGTGTTCCTCCTGACAGAACTAACGTCCATCAAGTGTTCAGTGTGGAGCAGCCTGTCCATTCCAGCCACACCGAGAGAACACTGACCAAGACGCAGAAGAATGGCACAGAGGAGTGGGTGCCGAACCTAGAAGGCAGTGCCTCCTTCCCACTCCCCTCTGATTAGATGAAATGTTGCCCAAACCTTTCTATGTTTTTATTAGTAAACTAGTGGTGGCAATCGTAACTGCCAGCATTCGGGGCTCCCCCGGGTACACGTGCACAGCAGAAGTTTGTGGGCACACGCACGGGAAATGCTCACACATGGACTCCCTGGAACTCACGGTTTTCCCAAGATGAGAAAGGTGGGGGCATTTTCTGTTTTGTTGCTTTGTTTTTGGTACTAAAACAGTATTATCTTTTGAATATTGTAGGGACTTGCGTATATAAAGTCTATCCAGTCGAAATGGCTAGGATTGTGCCTTTGTAAGTTTGGAAAGCTTGACATCCTTGGTGAGTCTGTCAACACGCCTTCCCTGCCTGCATGATGAAGTTTGGATTCGTTTCTAACCACTGGAATTTTTCGACATCATCATCTTTGGTTCAATGATTTTTGCACTTTGAGTTTGGAAATACTGTGTCTGCTTGGTTGCTAGTGTTATTTTTTTTTTTTTTTTTTAGTGGGCTTATCAGAATCACACTGTTTGTCCTATTGTAGGACAAAGGAATAGAATCCCAGCAGTGACACACAGTATGGACCACATATTGTTTAATGTATGCTTTTTTTGAGAAAACATTGCATGTATTTTATACCTCGACGCGCTAAGATTGATTAGCAGAAAGGCATGACTCACAATATTAGTGGTTAAAAAATAAAATAAGTGAAAAAGTAATAAACAATACAAAAATAACCCTCTCGCTCTCTGTGCTTACTATATGCTTAATACTACTAAATTTTGAAAGAAGGGACAGGGCAAAGACCATTTTATTTTAATTTTCTCTCTTGGATTGGTTAATAAGCTTAAGCGTTGGGGAAATGTGTGTAGTTTTGACTTTCTCCAAGACAGTTTTGCTAAACTGAAATCATGAATGTTATAACACTTAAACCCACCGTGGGAAGGTTTGCTTTATGAATATTGCGGTACGTGAATATTTTTAAAACTGTCAGCAAACTCTGGTTTTTCCAAAAGACATAGTTCAAAACTGCTTTTGAAAATCTGTATTCTAGATATCATTCTGTTTCTCTTGGACTTTTAGAGACCAGTCGAAGGATTACCTCATCTCATTGTCCTCTTCTACTTCCCAGGGTCTTCTTGTTGTAGCTGTTGTTTAGCTTGACAGTGGTTTTTTTTTTTTAACTTTTCAATAATTCAAACATGGAGATACATTGTATTCTCCTTAAGTGTTTGCAGTAAACACTTTTCAAGAAAATTTCCTGTGGCATAGTTGAATCCTTGGTTATTTTAAGTCTTCATCATAGTCTATGCATAGGCTAAACCTAACTAGCTGTTTATCAGATGTGGCTGGCAGCTGCAGAATGAAAGAATAAACATATTTATGGTCCTGGATGATGTGTTTTGTAAAGAGATTTCAAGATATTAAGAAGCATACTATGTTTTTTGAAAATCCTATGTCATGCTCTGTGATGCTTTTATAGAACAATTCTGGCTTCAGGGAAGTCTAGAAGCAACATTTCTTGAAATAAAAGGTGTTGAAACATTTTACCCGTTTCAGAGAAGTAACCTTAAGTCAGCTTTTGTGGTCCACACACGCCTTACAAGTTAACTGGAATCTAGTTCGCACCTTCCATGACTAAGTGTTAGTGATTCTTGTCAAATTACCCCCAGACCCATGTGTTGTAGACCGTTCTCGGGTTAGGACCTTTGTGGATTTGCCTCCTTGAAGTCCAGGAGGATGAGGCAGAACACTTCTCTACATAACCAGAGAAGCTGCAAGAGCCTAGAGCTCCATCTTCATCATAGAAAAATACTGATTAACTTTTAGGCAAGGAGCCCCGCATTGATAATCCCCCATGAGGCTTTGCAAATGCCCTCACTGGTCCTGGGAGGCACAGATAGACTTTTCTAAAAGCAAGAAGGCTCACCCGTGAGCAGCACCTTAGAGTTTGGAGGGAGCCCTGAGCTTCGAGGCAAACCTGACTGCCCGGAAGACCTCCCGTGTTTGTTACTGATAAATCCCAAATTCTGGGGTAGAAGCTGGCTTGGAATGGCCTTCAGATAAGAAACTAAGAGTCCATGAAATGTCTAGATTAGAGCTTAAAAGAAAGGAGGACCACAGCAAAGCATTCAAAGACTTGTTCATCGGTCCAGAGGCACACATATACAGAATCATAACGAGCTAACAAGTTTGGAGGCACAGTGTTCAGAAACACATCTTTGTCCCATGCTTCTTCTTTAAAAACCTCAATAAGTTGTGTATATGAAAGAGATTCAGTGTGATATTTCCACTCATGCGTGTCCTGGTCAACTCCTCCTTTGACCTCACCCCATCCTAAGTGACCTTCCCAGTCTGCAGTAATTATCATTTCACTCTCCCGCCAACTTTTTTAAAAAGTTTCCACATAGGCAGAGAACCTGCCTATGTGCCTTTCTTCTTTCTTTCCTGTAAAATGTGCCGAGGTCACATGTTGAAATCAAATCAAAACAAACAACCAAAAATAAACGCAACTCGGTTTGGGTACAATTCAATGAATATTTATGCAGTCTAAACAGTGCAAAAAGATTGTATGTCTCCAGAACTGTGTTCCGAACCTGTTTCAAAGACAGAAGGACACTTAGAGGCTGGCTGCCTGGGGTCAGATCTTTTGATCTGTGAGGAAGATGGCAGCAGAAGGACTGGGCAGACCGCCATGGTCCATTCCCGCTTGCCATGGATTTAGACAATGAAGAAAGAGGGCCAGAGGCTCTCTGCTTCTTCCGTTTAACCAGACACATGTGCATCATATGAGCACTCCCGGCATACACACATGCAGTCACAGAAGAGAAAAGCCATATCAGGGGCCCATCTGAAACAGCCCTATTGGGTAAGAACAGGAGTGATCAGGATGTTCAAGGACACCGAAACTGTGCTGGGGCCGGGGCAGGGCTGGGACCAGGGTGGAAGGGTACCGCGCAAGTGGCCGTGTGCCTAGCAAGCCCTCACAAACCCTGGGGCAGATCCCTGGTGCTGCACAGACTTACCTGCCACCCAAGCACTTGGGGGTGGAGGCAGGAAGAGACGTTCAAGGTCATCCTCAACTTCACGGTGTGTTTGAGGGCTCCTGCCACCCTAAATTTATTTTGAAGTCTTCTTTTTATGATTTCTGTGAGCATAGGGAAGTACTATCCGCCTCTCTAAGACGACTATTTTGCAGAAATAAGCAAGGGCTTTGGGTTAGCGATGGCAGCTGCTCGGTGTATGTGTTTTCTTTTCCCCAACTGTCCAGGGGAGATGTCAGGACTCTCTGCTGAGTGTCTGTGGCCTTGGGAACCCCCATCCCAGCTGCTGCATTCCCTGCCAGCTGTCAAAATGACAGGTGTTGGCATCTGAGTAAAAAGAAACAGCACCACACTTAGACTACACCTGAGGCTACTCCTGTTCTTATCTAAGACGGGAGTGAGCGGGGCTGGGGTGTAGCCACTGTTCAGTTTCCCAATGGAGTCAACTTTTGAAGGCGACATATCTTTGGATGGCAAGTAAATCCCCAAGCAAAGCTTCGTGTGCTCTACCCTGGGTCTTTTTGGGCCCCCATGACCCACAAAACTGCTGTTAAGAGCTACAGCACCCCCCTAAGTCCACCTGTGGCTTCTCCCACCTCCTGACCCATCCAACACCCAAGAAACACCCGTTATGTGACACCATTTCTTGGTGTACTGAGCCTGCCTTTCTCTAACTGTGTTGCTGAGGACTTTGCCAGCACAGTATCTTGGGTCTTCATGACGTGTATGATGCTGTATAAAACACGTAGAGCGAATGGTCTTTAAATTTTGGATGCTTCCTCTTGCTGTAGAAACATCAGAGAGAGACTGTGTTCAGAGATCCCTGAAGCTGATCGATGCCTCGATCTTAAGCTGGAAAATGTGAACTATGACCCAAAATATTGCTGCTTACTGGACCTCATACCAAGAAATGTCCCAAATTCTCAGGCTAAAAATCTCTACTCTTCCCCCCTTACACACCTCATAAGCCCAACAAGGCAGATTCAAGAATTGAGTGGGACCAGTTCAATAGTAGCTTTCAGCAGAAGAAGAAAGATCCCAGATCATCCATGTGGGGACCGGCCATCCTCTGAAGGCAGGAGCATAGAAGCAGTGCATGTGTTTTCCATAATGAACACTAGATGGCACTCGAGTACAGCTAAACATGTCTTCACTGCCATCCACCGCAAAATGACAATTTATCTTGATTTCTAAAGTAACTGTACTTGCTCTCATGTTTAAGCCTTTACAAGATATCTTGATCCATGGCGCGTTTGCCCTT